TTAGCTGTTTATTGAATTTGTCTTTTGAAAATGGATTTATTGCAATCCTTTATGTGTGACAGATATTGATTCTTATTTTGGTATGTATTGCAAATACCTTCTCTCAGTCTTTTTTTTGTAAAGGGCAATTATCTTTTTAAATAGAAGTTTTACATATTAATGCAGTTGTATTTTCAGTGTTTGTGCTTTGGAGTTATTGTCTTCAGCCCTTTCCTCCATTTGGATCATAAAGGATATTTTCTTATAAAATAACAGTGACCAAATAGCCTGCAAAGCCTAAAGTATTTATTCCTTGGCCTTTTATGAAGAAGGTTTGCTGGCTCTTGCTGTGAGTCCTGTAATTGAAAGTTTTTGTTTTTCCCTTGTGGAACATAACATGGATCTTGTTAGGAAAGATTTAATTTAAATATCAACCAGTAATAAGTTAAAATAATTTCATGAATTGAGTTTATAGTTTACCCTTACAAAAATTATAATTGCACTCAGAAAGTAATGCACTTAGAACTTAACAGTTCCTTAATTCATGAGTGAAACTAGTATTAGACGCTTAAACTGTACTTTGTGGAACAATTAGAGAGAGAAGTACTCTTTGTTAGTGAGATGAGTAACCCTTGTTATTGTCTTCTACTGGGCTTGATATATCAGGGCTTCTAGTGTTTCTTAAATGAATGGATGAATGAAATGAGATAATGCATGTAAAATGCTTAGCACAAGTATAACCTTAATAAATGGTAGTTATTTTTAATAGTGAACACATCAGGATATAAGTTTGTCACACCTAACTAACGTAGCTCAAATATTAGCATAAGGTGATTTTTTTCACCTCAAATAATAATTTGTCCTGTACGTTTTCTTTTAAAAGCTAATCTTTTAGTTTTGAAGTAACTTTTTGAAATTTAAAACATTTCACATTAGGATATCATTTAAGCATCTATCAGATTTAAAAACGTGATGTGTTGGTATAGTAGCTGGTTCAGGGACTTTTGGTCATAGACCATCAATTAAAAAACAGTTATAGCTATATACAGAACACTGTGTTAAGTGAATGACTTATATAAAGAAATGTGAGAGATTGTTTTGTCATTGAGGAACTTGCAGTGTGATTGGAAAGACAGTACGTGTACATGTGGAAAGTTATGGAAAAATATGTTACTGTTTCATATACCTACTATTCTCTTTATTTCATGTAAATCAGCTTTTTTTCAGTCTTCCTTTCTACTTCTTTATATATTTTTTATACTAAATATACCCTTTTATGTCTATTTTTAAAATTCAATTTCTTTATCATTTTTAATTTCTAAAAATATTTAATCCCTATTTATTTTTCAAATGTAGATATTCTGTTGTTTGAGAGTAGGTCATGAAAGTTTGGAAAAAGTTAAGAAATTTAGCAATTGACACTGTAGTTATCTTACTATTTAAGCTTCTGATTATAACTTTATGAGAGGAAGGGTGGCAAGGCCTTAGCAGTTGGCCTTTCTTTCAAGATCAAATATTCTAGTCCTTCCTCCTTTCAAAGAATTTGGATAATATGTACTCATGTAACAGGACAAGAGAGAAAATAGAGATTATTAAACAGATGGAAAACTTTCTAAATCCTTGGTTGCTGATCTTCTAAGAACAGTTTTGGCTATTGTAAATTTGAAATGTATTTTTGAACAATCGAGTTCTACATATGGAAATATTAACAGTTGTCACATCCACATGGGTCCTTTATGTTTCTCTTAAATATTACATTTAAATATTATTACATTTTTGTTGTTACTGGTGTTGGATTTTCTTGCCTTTTGTTGAAGGAAAAGGACTTTAAATTTATTCTGGTTTCTTAATAAAATCTTTGTGAATTTAAAGAGGAAAAGGAAAACATGCTTTTGAAAGATAAACCTAAAAACACACATACACAAAGATAAACCAAATTATATGTTAGCAGAAAAAATACTTAGTGAGAGGTATAAAATTATTTAGTTTTATTTATCTTATTAGGACTCCTAGGTCAAAGAGTTTCAGAGAAAGACTATAAAGTGTTATTGGCCTGTTAATAGGATTGGGGGAATATTCTGACCTCTTGTCATTGCTATCAGGATTCTTTCTCTTTTCTAACAGCACTAAAAGTTACCAATTTTGTTATATGTAATTCTTTTTTGTTACTAAATAAATGTTTACTTTGAAGCCTCTGTTCTAATGCCATATTCAGTTTTTCCATCTCCAAATATAAATGTACCAAATTCTTTAAATGGAAACTTAAATAAAACATCACTTCTGAAGAAATAATTCCTCTTTAATAATGCAAAGGAAAAAGAATCAACGTTCTTAATTTCTGTCTTATACTCTACTTGTCATTGAAAACCATTTTTTTGAGGAGTCTACCTTGAATTCATAAAAGGTATAATTCAGGTCACTTTAAAGCTGCAAAAACACATTTAATGTAAAATACCCATGGTTTATAATTTTCTGAATTATGGTATAAAAACAAATTTGAGATGCCTAAATAAAGCTGCCTTAGTGATATGTTTTTGAAAGCAGTTCTCTCTTTTTATTAGTACAGCATAACATTTTAAGATAAGCAGAGTATTTATTTAAATTATTAGTGCCAAATTCACCCACTTAAAAAGTTAAGTTTGAATACAAAGTCGCAAGTTATAAAACTATGCAGTACCATCCCTCTTTATTTGAAAAGAGTTATGTGAAATATATGTTTACATATGTATGAATGTTGATAAGTTCAGTATTATTTGTCTTAGGGTTGTGTATATTTCTATATTGTCTGAATTTTGGGAGAGTCAAGAATCAAAAGGAGTAGGTGGTAAACTTTAAATATAGAATTATGTTAAAAAGTATTACATCAAGGCCCGGGGATTTAGCCCAGTGGCACCGTGCCTTCCTCACAAGTGCAAGGTCCTGAGTTTGATCCCCGGTGCCAAAATAAAAAACCCCCCAAAAACAAAACCCACCCAAAAAGTAGGTTTTGTAAGCCTTGAGATATAATCATTTTTTAAATTACTTTTATCCTTGGATATAATGTATCCATATATAGCACAAAAAAAACTATGTGTTGGGCCCTGGCATCCTTATGTTCCAGTGAATTTAACAGTATCAGAAGGAAGAGAAATAGTAGAGTAAAAAAAATTGAAGCTTTGAAAAAGTAAACTAATTCTGTTACCCAGAGTTATGTACTTCAGTTGTCATGGTATGTTAATTAATTAATGTGATGATTGCAAAGACCAAAAAAGAACTGTCAAAGTATCATGATATAATTTGCATTCCATTTTCTCTGTGACCATAAATTGTTGGATATTGCAACATATGTAACATAAACCACATGTCAGCTGTTTCCTGCCTCACTGTTGACAAGAGCTCCATTCATAGCTCTTCTTTTTATCCTTTCAGTGAATAATTATTCAATATAGAAGGGAGGATATTTGGAACTGGCTATTTAACGTGGCAGCACTCTGTAATGAAATCTGCTGTTACTGGCAACCTGAGAGGGGAATGTAACAATTCCAGCATGGCTGTAACTTTATCTGCTTTGAATGACTGTTTATTTGGCACATCAGTGAACCTTTTATCCCAGTGAGTGACAGCTCCAGCAGGGTCACATTTACATCCATTCTATCATGTATTGTAATATTTAATGGTGGACAAGGTTGAGCGAGACAGGGAGTAATTTGAACTTGGTTTTCCACTAGTTGAGGCTAAAAGACAGCTTGATCCTCGGTATTGTGGTATAACATGCTATGAGTTAGCATTTGTTTATGAAGACTAATCTTAACTGATTACAATTTTTTAAAACCTCAAAAATTTTAATAAAGTGATTGTTCTATTAAACTGAAATTCTCCAGTACAAATTCTTTTAAATCAGTGTGCTATTTTTATCTGTTTCCCTTATCAGTGACCATTTCATAGTATTTTACTTAAGGCTTAATTTTGTTTCATTTGGTGTGATAATTGAGCCTTTGAAGAGAGTAATTATTAAGAATCTGTGAGTTCTAAAATACAGCATTAAAATTAAAAAATTTTTGTTTTGTCAATTTGGAAACAGGAGATAAAAAGGGAAACATTTGACTATCTTTCTCATGTTCCATGTGGTGTATTTAAGGAGGTATTTCTATAACTATTTAAGTTGTGAAACTGACTACAAATGAATTGTCTAAGAAGAGCTATCGTGGATAATTTACTCATGGGTTTGCTTTCCATGGCAGATAATTGGATTTCAGATATACTTGTCCCATACAAGCAACCTACTTTCATATTAAATGTTAATATTTTGCATTCATTTTCATATCTTTACAAGAGAAGAAATTTCTTTACTCATTTTGTTAGTGATACTTGAAATTCAACTTTGTATTTTTATTCTTTTGTAAACTATTGTTTTAAATTCTTTTAAAATTCACTAATATAGAATATTTGGAGGATATGAGTAAAACTATCATCTCTACACTATAATATCACAAATTCACACGAAACCTAAGCAAGAGTCAAAATTACTTTGTCATACAATTTTTTTTTGGTCATATAATTTTATAAGAAGGGTTAAAATGTGTTTGAAACATTTGGAATTGGCAAGTTAGAGTGGTATCTTAGAAAGAATGCAAATATGGAAATAATCATTTATAACCTTTTTTTTTTTCTGGTACTGGGGATTGAGCCCAGGGCCTCTGCCTGAACTATATCCACAGCCCTTTTTATTTTTCATTTTGAGGTAGTCTCACTAAGTTGCCCAGGGTGGCTTTAAACTTGCAATCCTTCTGCTGCTTTAGCCTCTCAGATAGCTGAGATTACAAGTGTGCACCACCACCCCTGTTTCATTTATAACTTTTAAAAGAGAAATTTGAAATGGAGTTTTTTTCTTTAATTGGCAAGTTTTAGGTACTGTAATATTTTGAAATTTTCTCTTTGACAAATGGTGGTTCATTACTTATAAGTTCTGATTCCATGAAAGGTTTGGTAACACTTGTTATGGTAGTCCAGGTGTTAATTATCTTTTCTTTCCTGTGTTACAGCCCCCTGGCCACTGTTCTAGGTGCTCCTGTTCTACTAAACAAGGAAACAGTCAAGAATCTTCACATACCATTAAGAAGGATCATGGGGGGAAATTCAAGAGGCCCAAAATATATTTTGGGACACGCACACACAAGCAGATTGCTCAGATTACTAGAGAGCTCCGGAAGACAGCATATTCAGGGGTCCCAATGACTATTCTTTCTAGCAGGGATCATACTTGTGTCCATCCTGAAGTAGTTGGTAACTTCAACAGGAATGAAAAGTGCATGGAATTGCTGGATGGAAAAAATGTGAGTAAAATTATTTTGTTTTACAGAAAAAATAGGCTGAAAAGATTCACATTACTTAAGATATGTTTTACCTGTACTTTTATATTGTTAAATAACTTTGGGAAATAAAATTAATCGCTGGTATTGATACTTTTTGAAAAATAGTTTTACCACAAGAAAACCTTTATTCAAGTTTCAGATTACAGGTTTAGGTCCTAAAGTTTGGAGATATTTAATTCCTTGAACTTAATTTCCTTTGAGGTCAGATGTTATTTCTTTTAAATTCCTTTATCAAAAAAGTCATATGTTAATGATGTCATATAAAACTATTTAGACCAGTTAGACCTAATTAATATATTTTACATATTTAAAAACTTCAGAAGAAAATTAGGTAGCCTGAGCACATTTTTATATGGCTTCTAATTGAATCTAAAATATAATGATTATTCCATCTCATAATTCTAGTTAGTACAAAATTCTGTTTTAAAAGTTAGATTATTAACTATGAATGGTTTTGAACTTTTCCAGGGAATTTATGAATTTGGGTAAGGCAGAAATAGAATATTGTTTTTAACTAAAAATTATGATTTAAAATATTTTGGGGGACAATATTATTTTGGGAGTCTGTGTTCCAGTATAATTTACTCTAAAATTGAGGTTGCAGGTATGAAATTATACTCAGAAATCATCAGTAAACCAGTATTTGAAATGGCCAATGATATTTACTGTATTTTGAAAGTTGTTTTGTCTATTAGTATTTTATCAAAGAGAGTTGACTCTTTATTTTTTAATTTTTTTTTTTAAAGAGAGTTGATTCTATACAAAAAATAGTGAGCTATGGCCCCTGGAGTTCCATTTTATTGATATATTACCTCCTACCATATAATGTGAATAAATTATTTTATATTATGCTTTTCTTTCTCAGTGCTTTAATTAAATGAGAATTTATTCAAGCTTTATTTAGGGATATTCAAAAGATCCTTTAATAGATATTCAAACATTATAAAACTATAAAGTAAAAATTGTAAGGTGCTGGAGTAGAAAAATGTGGGGCCAGGGATTTAGCTCAGTGGTTCCGGCACCTGCCTCACAAGCACAAGGTCCCAAGTTTGATCCCTAGTACCAAAAAAAACCACCCAAAAAGCCCCCAAAAATACAATGCAGTAGAAAAATGTGAGTGATTTGTTCAGAGCCAGGAAGAAAATACAGAATTACTGAATCCAAACCATTGTTGAAATTCTGTAGTCATATTTATTTCCATATAGTTCTGAGGAACTGTGAAGTCTTTCTTACTGTATATATTTAAAAGTTCTTTTAAAGGAGAGATGGAAATATTAAAAATCAAATGTAAAAAAAAAAAAGAAATAGCTCTTCATGGTAAAACATCACAAATTTCATGCTTAGGTAGACTTCTTTCCAAAAATGGCTAACTGATTTGCTAAATTCCTCAAATGCTTGAATTTCTTTTTTAGCTATATAGTTTATGAAAGAAGATTTGCTGGCGTTGTAATATTTTAATCTTTTTTTACTCGTTATTGAGAAAATATTATGTATCTAAAAAATACATACATTGATAAAATGCATTGGTAAAAGTAACTAACGAGCCGGGGATTTAGCTCAGTGGTTCCACTGCCTGCCTCGCAAGCACAAGGTCCCAAGTTCGATCCCCGGTACCAAAAAAAAAAAAAAAAGTTTAGGGTTATGTATTGAAGGCAGATAGTCTTATAGTTTTCTGGAATCCTAGAATGCTGGTTATGCTTTTATTGATCTTGATTCTCATAAATTTGAATCACATAAAAATAAAAAATTCAGTAGACTTCAATATTCAGAATTACTCATTGCCTTTAGTTTGTCCTAAAGTGAACAAGTAAACATTTTTGAATGTTAGTGATACAAATAATTGAAGATACCTGTTTGTGGATTGCTATAACCTAATTCTAATTCTGCCTCAGAATGCTTGCCTCATGGGCATACATGAACCATTCTTTTTCTTGTTCCCAAGCCCTCAGAGTAATTTGGTATTGTAATGAGGGCCAATTACAAAATCACCATAGGTGTCTATGTTTACCATGGCTGAATTACCAAAAAGAAATGATAAATAGATAACTGACAGTTTGAGTGAAAACAGTTTAAAGTGTGATAACGCTTCAATTGACAGACTCCCCTCAGGGTTGTGTTACACAGCTAAAATGGATGAGCTTTTCTGGTATTGCTATCAGCCTGCACAAGGCTGTCATTCTAAGTGCCCTTAAAGTGTAAATGTTCTGATTTTTTGGCTTGATCTGATGGCACATGTGTTTTTGTTCCTGTTTCTTTTATTAAAATGCTCTCATGCTAGAAAAATATGCACTTGTCTGTTAAAAGCTAATCTGTGTTTCACTTGAGAAAAAATAATTTTAACAAGAGTCAGAAATGACAATTCTAAAGAGTACTTTAGATGCAGAATAGAGTTCAGATTCTAAAGGCTTCTTAGTGATCATTCTGTACAAAGATGAACTTTCAGAATTGAATGGAAAATGCTTGAAATGAAGAAATGGCGAACATCATATTATTAAAGAGAGTCTGTATCAGACTCAGTATGAAAGATAATTGGCACAACTCTGCTTGTATGTGGATCTGAGAATCACAGAATTTTAGAACTGGAAGGAACTTTAGAGATGGTATAGTCAGTGAGTCAAAAGGAATTTTAAAAGGCTTCTAGTTCAGCTACTCTTTTGATGCTTAGTCACATGAGAAAAATGGATCTTGAAGTATACCCAGTCAGACAAGTGATTAGCAAGGGAGGAGGAGCCAGAACCTAAGTTTGTAAGTCCTTCTCCGTTGCTATTTTGATTACACTAGGAAGAGAAAAAGAGAAAAAGAGAAAAAGAAAAAGATGAATGTATGGGGGAAGGTGAAAGATTAAAAAAAGAGTAGCGGTTAGATAAGTAAATGAAAAAAATTTAGAAAACTAAATAAATTTAATTATGTGAGGCCTTTCCTGCTAATTATTTTTAGTATTTTGGAGAAGCAACAGATAGCTTCCTTGAACATGGCTCAGTACACAACTTTAGAAGAACTAGTCAACTGTTTATGTCTTGTCTTTTGATTTCCTGACATTCTTTTATGGGTTATGAAACTTCAGTGGTTTATTGTTTCTAGTAATTTCTAGGAACATTAGTGTATTTAATGATGTATATATGTTTTGAAAGCATAGACTTGTCTCCTTTTGGATAGTTCATAGGTAAAAGTACATATATATATTTATATATATTACATGTATACATATATACATGCATATATATGCATACATTCATACATATAATTCCTTGTACTTACTAAAGAGAAGCCAGGAAAGATTTTTTACTTCAAAATCACATTTAATTTTTATTAATAAGAATTAATGAAAATAAAAATGTCTCATTATTCTACCACTTAGTGCCTAATAGTACTTGAAAAAGAAAAATAATACATGTACATCATTAAAAGAGTCAAAATTATAGAGAAACATTAAGTGGAAAGAGAATCTTTGTTTTTGGAGCTCCTCCTCTCCCCTGAGCCAGTTATTTCAAGGAAACTACTATGAAGTTTTACGTGTATTTTTCCAGAACATTTAGAAAATGCATTTGCTATAATACATATTTATTCTTTTTAAATAAAGCTTACATGAACTTAATCACTATGCACATTATTCAGTAACTATATTTCTTAACATATCTTCTTTTTGCTATTTAAAAATTTTTATTAATACATAATTGTAGTACATAATGATTACATTCATTGTGGGGAATTGGTACATGTTCATAACAAATCTCAATTGATTTTTTTTCCCCTTCCCCCCAATACCTCCCTTTTTTGCCAGCATCACATTCATTTATCTATCTTATAAGTCCTTATAAAGTTAATTATCTTAGATTCAGATTAACAGCTAGAGTTAATAGACCAAAAACATATAAAACACATTAAGGTATCTTTTAGAGAGCCTAACACATCAGCACATGGGCAAATGTAACTTACTTTTAAGGGTGATAGCTTTTGTATGAATTAATCATCTGTTTAATGTGTCTACTGTGGGCAGTTGACATTAGGTTTATCTCCCAGTTTTTAATTTTTTTTTTTTTGTACTGGGGATCAAACTTGGGACCTTGCGCTTGTGAGGCAAGCAGTGGGACCACTGAGCTAAATTCCTGGCCTCCAATTTTTTTTTTTGGTACCGGGGATCGAACTTGGGTCCTTATGCTTGCACAGCAGGCGGCGAAACCACTGAACTAAATCCCTGGCCCTAATTTTTTGTCTTTTGAGACAAAGTCTTGCTATGTAGTTCAGGGTGGCCTTGAACTCACTATGTAGCCTAGGTTGGCCTTAAACTCATGGTGATCCTCCTGCCTTAGCCTCTCAAGTGCTGGGATTACAGGTATGTATTACCGTGCCCTATTTTAAGTTTTTGGCTATTAAACAGTTCAGTGTCTATATACTGTATATTAACATTAGTGGTTAAATTTAAAATTTTGACAGTTTTTGACAAATTGGCTGTGTACTTTTGCTAGTAGAAGCTTATATTTCTACTAAAAGTGGATTTATATACTTTTACACATTTTAAAGTAGTATATGAGGCACTTTTGCCAGGACTCGGTTTTATCAGACATTATTTAAATGCATATAAGATTTTTTTTTACTTTCAGTAATAGCAAAGGACATTAGTAGGTAACACAAAAGAAGAAAAATTATTGTTGAACCTCCTATAAAATAGTGTTAAACATTGTTAAAAACTATAAGAAATCATTGCAGAGATTCCTTACAAAACTAGGATTAGAGATTCCATTTGACCCAGCTATTCCCCTTCTGGGTATTTTCCCAAAAGAATTAACAGCATCATACCACAGCGATATATGCGTACCCTATAGTGACACAGTTTGTAATAGCTAAATCTTGGAAACAACCCAAATGACCATCAACTGATGAATGGATAAAAAAGATGTGGTTTTTCTATACAATGGAGTATTATTCAGCCATAAAAAAAGATAAACTTGAGACATAGCTAAATGAATGCACCTTGAAACTATACTCCTAAGTGAAATAAATTGGACACACATGTAAATATTGCATTGTCTCTCTGAAAGTATAAATAGAGACCAAAAGTATAATAGATAATTAAAATTTTAAAAAGTGTTCAAAAGGAAGGGGGGGGGAACAAGAGAATAGGAAGGAAGAAAAAGAGAAAAGAAGGAAAAAATGGAAATGGGGTGTTTGTAAATAAGGAGGGGAAGAAGGGTTGAAGGGAGGAGAGGGGAATGGGGAAAAAAAGAGAAATCAAGATACTTCAAGTACAGGCTCAAATTCTCTATGATGGATGTGATCATGTATATCTAAATTATACCAATAAAATTAAAAATAACTATAAAAATACAAATCAAAGCAAGAAGATTCTATTCTTCACCTTTAAATAGGCAAAGATAAGAAAAGATATTATTATTATTTATTTGTTTATTTATTTATTTTTTTGGTACCAGGGATCGAACTCTGGACTTTGCACTTGAGAGGCAGGCAGCAGAATCACTGAGCTAAATCCCCAGCCATAAAAGATATTGTTGTTAATAAGGATATAGAAATGGATAATGAAAATAGTATCTATTTTCTGGAGGATAATTTAGGAATATTTTCAAGAAACTTAAAAATTCTTCAGTCTCTAGTCCCATTGTGCCATTTCTGAAAATGTCCAGTACTAAGAAATGTTTAGAATTGAGCATAAGGTAATTCACTCCATTACTATTTATAAAGTAGAAACTGGTAAGTCTAAATGCCCGATAATACGGGAACTAGTTCATCAACTTGGCACTTTAATTCGAAGTACTTATATGAATAGCAGTGAAAAAATATCTAGTAATACATGATTTTTTCTGATATGATTTTTAATAAAATAGGGAAGAATAAGTGAATTTAGTTTTATAAAAATATTTATTGTAGCCAGATTGTTAATTGTCAGTGCCTGGGGAACTTTTGCTTTATCTTAACTTGGGTCACATTGAGAGATGTCTCCTCATGTAAGTATGTATAGAAGAAGTATGAAGTGAAACACATCAGAATGTTAATAGTGCATTCTTTGTGAGATAGAATTATAATTTAGGGATTTTTTTCATACTCTTATATTTTCTGATTTTTTTTGTGTGTGTAGTGATCTGACCTACTGTATTTTCCCCCAAGATGTTCCAAACTACCTTGTTTGCTTGGTTGTTTCCTTTCTTTCTCTACCCTTTCCCCCCTTCCTCCATTTATTGTTCCTCCTGTGCATCAAAATTGAAAAGGTGTGAGTCTACAGAGAAAAATCACTTCTACTCCTGTTCCTAAGTCACTTAGTTCCCATCCCTAAAAGCAACCAATGCTACCTTAGTATATATTCTTCTTCTTCTTGTTTGTTTGTTGGGTTTCTTTTTTTGGTTTTTTTTTTTTGAGACAAGGTCTCACTATGTCATTCAGGCTGGCTTTGAACTCACTAGGTAGTCCAGGCTGGCCTTGAACTCATGGTAATCCTCCTGCCTCAGCTTCCCAAGTTCTGGGGTCAAAAGAGTGTACCACCATGCTCAGTGCTTTGTGTATTCTTTCATAAATAATTTATGCCTAGTATCACTTTAATCAGAACAAAGCCACAAGAAACATAATTTAAAAATATTTTTCTCTAGTTGATGAGATATTTAGAGTTTAACTTATCTGGAGCTTTATCTGAATCGAAGTCAACTACCATAGTTTCTTTAAAATGATTGTGTGATAGGCCAGGGATTTACCTCAGTGGCACCGTGCCTGCCTTGCAAGCACAAGGTCCTGAGTTCAAGCCTCAGTACCAAAAAAAAAATGATTGTGTGATTGTGGCCAGCCCTCATGGCATGCACGTGTATTCCTAGCTGTCTCTGGACAATGAGGCGGGAAGTGTACTTGAGCCTGTGGAGTGTAGGGCCAGAGACCCCATCTCTTACCAAAAACAAGTTATGATTGTGAAAATAGGGCATAATCTGGCTCCTTGGTAACCTTGTGGCTTTAATAATGTTCCTATAATTCTGAGATAAAACATTCTTTCTAGTCTAGTATTAATTCACATTTCCATTATACATATTTGGTTTTTAGGGAAAATCCTGCTATTTTTATCATGGTGTTCATAAAATTAGTAACCAACACACATTCCAGACCATTGAAGGAATGTACAAAGCCTGGGATATAGAAGAACTTGTCAGTCTGGGGAGAAAACTAAAGGCGTGTCCATATTATACAGCCCGAGAACTGACAGAAGATGCTGACATAATATTTTGTCCCTACAACTATCTTCTAGATGCACAAATAAGGGAAAGTGTAAGTATATGTATAAAAATCAGAGTAATTTTTTTCCTACCTATTGTTGTATAAATGATAAGTATAAAAGCCTTTCGATGTTTTAATAGCTTTGTTTTTTGCTTCATATTGAATTTATGTAAATATGTTAGAATACTGAAAATATATTCTAAGGTATAAGAATTTTAGAGCTAATCATTTTAATTTCCAAAATAATAAGCAATTTTAAGGACCCAGTGACTAAAGTGGGAAGATACCAGGGTTTTTGAACATTGGCAGTAACGACATTGTGGGCTGGATAATTCTTAGCTGTGGTGGGCCAGTCTTGTGCGCCATGGGTTGTGTTATAGCATCCCTGCTTTTATCTACTAGATACCAGTAGCATCCTCACAATTGTGACCATTAAATGTCTCCAGACACTGTCAGTCTTCTTCAAATAACCATTTATAACCATCTTTCTTTCCTTTCATGAGTAGTCAAAAAGAATTATTTAAAGACATGTCTCTGAACAAGCTGTATTTTGAAGCACTTGTATTGGGAATATATGAACACTATAGAAATTATGATTTGTGAGTTTTGGAGAAATGAACTTCAGATTTTATTTTAGGGACATCTAGTAGTTTTAGCAAAAGACAACAAAAGTAAATAAGTTGGTATAGGCCATTGTGTTTCCGTTCTTCAGATCTGACTGTGCAGTTCTTATTGGTTGCTATTTCTTTATGTTCAAAATTAATAAGCATTATATTTACTACTGCTAATACTGTCCTTTTATTCTACCTCTAATTGATTGCCTCTTATCCAGGTATCTTCCTTCTGAACCATTGCACATAACAATGCCACCCAGTCTTTCCTAATGTTACTTACTACATTCTTCCCCTATTTAAAAATCTGCTGCGGTTCCCTTTCCTCTGGGATGAAGTCCATATTTCTTAAATTTACATTCAAGAGTCTGATCTAGATTTGCCTTTTGAGCTTTCTCTCATAAAACTCCCAACTTGAACCCTTAAAAAATTATCAGAGTCCCCAGAGGATACCTTGTTTTTTCCTGTATCTCTGCTTCATCTCTTGAAATGCTCTGCTCATTTTTTGTCCTAATCTATAAACACGTTCTGTTTTCTATTCTTTCATGGCTCATTCTTAGTTGTTTTTAACCTTCAGTGTATTATTAATTTCTGAGACTACCTCACTGACAATTGCTTTGTGACATTTTCCTATATTAGTCAGGACTCCTTTAAATTGCAAGTGATGCAAACCCAACTTAAAAAAGGAAAGAGCTGGGCTGGGAATTTAGCTCGGTGCCGCTGCCTGCCTTGAAAGCACAAGGTCCAGAGTTCAATCCCTGGTACCACAAAAAAAAATGAGCGAGCTCCGGAAACAATTGATTTTCTATTGTGATAGCTTTTTCTCAGGCAAGCTCTTGTTTTATTTTTGAGACAGTCTTGCTATATAGTTCAGGCTGACCTTGAACTCATTATATACCCTCAAATTCATGGTGATCCTCCTGCCTCAGCCCTCCTGAGTGCTGGGATTATAGCCACCACACCTGGCCAAGCTCTTCTTGTGGGAATGAAAACAACCATAAGCAGCTAGCTAATTTGGGAAAAAGAACCTTATCTCATATTAGTTCCCTCAAAATTACTCTGGTTGGTCTACCTTGGATCACATATCCATTCCTGAACCTGACCCAGTCACTATCACCATAAAAGGTGGAATACTTCATGTGACTGAGAAGCCTAGGTTCTGAGCCTTAACCCAGTTGTGAGAATAGTGACGTCTCTTGATGTACAGATTAGTAGTTCTACTAGGTTCACATAGGAGTTGGGGAAGAGCAATGCTCAAAATGAAGGGTTGCAGGACAGACTAAAATTAAACAAATATATATTATACTACACTGTGTTATTATTTTAGGAGTCATTTGACTCTTGTATTATTTTACTATTAAAGGGTTGCTGCTCTGTTTTATATTGGAAACTCCTCCATGGGATTTTATACTCTTCTGTGTAACTAGCAGTACCCTGATACATGCTCACTCAATACATATTTTTTCATTGATAGGTTCTTTTTTTCCTTTGGTACTGGGGATTAAACTCAGGACCTTGTGCTTGCGAGGCAGGCACGGCACCACTGAGCTAAATCCCTAGCCCTTCATTGATGGGTTTGCAAAATGTTTCAAGAGTACAAAATGGCAAACTCTGCACTATAAAACTGGTATGTGGTTGGCCTTAGTGCCTCTGAAGTTTTATTTAAGGCATAGAATCAGTTACTTATACAATCACTTGCTTATGTAATTGTACTACTTGCAATACTGGTGGGTAAGTGTGAATTTTTAAATTAAATTTCTTGTCTACCGCTGTTAAATTCATTTTGCCAGATGTTTTACAGGGAAATTCTTTTGTCTTACAGATGGATATAAATCTGAAAGAACAGGTTGTCATTTTAGATGAAGCTCATAACATTGAAGACTGTGCTCGGGAATCAGCAAGTTATAGTGTAACAGAAGTTCAGCTTCGATTTGCTCGAGATGAGCTAGATAGTTTGGTCAACAGTAATATAAGGAAGAAAGACCATGAACCTCTACGAGCTGTGTGCTGTAGCCTTATTAAGTAAGAGTATTTGTCTATTAGTGTATTTGTGTTGCCTTTGTACTAAAAACATGTTTTATTATGCCACAGTATCAAGCTTTGATTAACTAGACTACTTGGCAGTTGGATTCTTTGCCAGTAAAACTTTATTAAAACAAGGCTAGTCCAACCTTTTGTTTTATTCAAAAGAATATAATGAACATAATTGATTTTTTAAAAATTAATAATTGGAGTCTTACTCCTAATTAAGCAAGATAATTCAACAGCCCCACAGAAAGGGTATAAACAGAATAGGACAGAAACTAAACATGGTTTTAATTAATGTATTTTAAAGTTTTAGATGATGGCTTTATTTGTTGCTTTGTTCTCCAGTTTGAGTAGGATTCTAATTTGGTGGTTTTTATTTAACCATGATTCATTTAAGTATTCTAAAATAGACAGTACTAATTTTATTAAAATTTATATTAGGTAATTTCCCTTTTGTTTAACTTTTAAACTATTGCTCTAGAATCTCATCTTATAAAAAACCTGCCTCTGTAATCTCATTCTATGTATTGTGGTATTTTTCTGTTTCCTTTATTGTGTATTCTTTTAGAAGTCTGAATGTTATGAGATAACATGGTTGAACGTAAAATCTCTACAAGTTCATATACTAAAAACCTACTTTCCATCTCATCTCTTACTATTTAGTTTCTGTTCTTCTAGACAAGTTTGTCATTCAGGGCATATTTACATATGTGGCAGCCAATGTAGATATATTCTTTTAGTCTTCATTTCTTTGTCCAAATGATGACGTGCTATATATACTTTTTTTTTTGCATCAAGCTTTTTTCATGTATTTTGAAGACTGTTTCATATCAAGCCCTCAGTTGCTTTCTCAGTTTTAAAAAATAGTTGCCTAGGGCTGAGGTTTAGCTCAGTGGGAGAGGCCTTGTTTAGTATCTGTGAGGCCCTGGGTTTGATCTCCAGGGCTGCAAAAAGAAGGAAAAGAAAAAAATATTTGTCTAGAATTCCATTGAATAGATATATAGTCATTTGTTTACTGGTCTCTGAGTAATAGAAGGGGGTTTTTTCTGCTGTCACACCAGTTAGCACAGAAGCTTTCCTTGTCCCTTGTCCCTAGGCTGTGAGGATTCTCCTGGCAAGCAAGCAGTTCTGCTGTATCAGAAAACAGAGGGTGTCCTCTAAATTCAATTCAGTTCAAATATTGAACTGGAGGTAGCGTCAGATCCCACAGGCTGAGGGCTCAGTCCTAGGATTGCCCTGCCTGTGACTTTAGATGCCAGTCACAAGCCACAGCTTGTGCTTCTGATTGACCAGCTATAAATTGTGGTTCCTACAGCTCTATTTGCTTGAGTGGCTCACAGAACTCAGGAAAATGCTTTGCTTTATCAGTCTTTAAAGGGTATTATAAAAGATACAGATGAAGAGATACATAGGTAAAGGTATAGGAGAAGATGAGTGGAGCTTCCCTGCCTCCTTCTGGAGCATCGTTCTCTGGGAACCTCCACGTATTTAGCTATCTGAAACTTTCAAACACTGTCCTTTGGAACACTTCATTTCATAGCCATGTTTGATTAAATCATATTTCAATCTTCATGCCTCTCCCCCCTGGGAAGTTAGGAGGTTGGACAGAAAGACCTACCTCTCTAATCCTGCCTTGGTCTTTCTGTTGACCAGCTCTTGTCTTGTAGTCCATTCTGGCTTAGAAGCAAGTAGTACCCTGTTTTAAACACTTACAATATAGTCTCATTAAAAACTATTTGGAACTGTCCGTTGCACTTTGATTAGAATTCATATTTCTTACCCTATTCAAAATGAATTGAACCTTGTTTATCATTCTGTTTATTCCATTATCCACTGTACATTGTGATAATCATATTGGCTTATTTTTGTTTTTTGAGACAAGGTCTTGCTTTGTAGTGCAGGCTAGCTTTGAGCTCACTACATAGCCCAGGCTGGCCTCCAACTTGTGGCGATCCTTCTGCCTCAGCCTCTCCCAAGTGCTGGGATTACAAGTGTGTGCCACCGTGCCCGCTCACAATGGCTTTCTTTCAGGCTCAAAAGACCAGAATTTGTTAACTATCTCAAATTCTTTCCACTAGCTATTTCTTCTGTTTGGAACATGCTTTTTTCCCCCTTGAAGCTCCCATAATTGAATACTTTGTACATTCACTTGTTAGAATGAGTATCATTTGAGGGAGAATATCATTGACATTCAAATTAAAGTAGCAACTAGGTTACATTAATTTATTTTCATTATATATATCACTACCTGATATTTTCTTGGTTATTTTTTTCAGTGTTTATTTTTGTCTTCCTTTAGTAGACCATAATTTCTGTAAGAGGACCTTGTCTATAGTGGGTACTGCTATAATTTCTGTTGCTCAGAACAGTGGTATAAAGCATTCAAATAGTTATTGAGTTTACAAATATGTGTGAATGTGTATATATATCAGTGAATTTACTTTCAAATAGTTTTTTGTGTTAATATGTAGCACTTTTACTTATTTATTGGTTTGTTTTACATTTCCTTTTGTGTGCATTTGGGATAAACATGTAATACCTGGCTTTTAGAGAGACATTGGTCAAGTAAAACAGTATGAGTCCACAAAACAATTGGAAATTATATGCATGTTTCTTTTGAATAAAAGCTTATTTTTTTAGCTATATAAATGATTATTTTAGGGTACAAAACATGCATGTTTTCTTGAAGATGTCTTAATCCACATTCATGTCCTGAGAGCTATAATTGATAGAGATCAGTGTATAACAATAATGACAATAATGACATCTCTTGTTCTGTTGAAATAATGCACCTAAGAATGTTATTGGTTGACAGGGTTGCTTTATTTTATTCTAGTTGGTTAGAAGCAAACACTGAACATCTTGTAGAAAGGGATTATGAATCATCTTGTAAAATATGGAGTGGAAATGAAATGCTCTTAAATTTATACAAAATGGGCATCACTACTGCTACTTTTCCCATTTTGCAGGTAAGATTCTTTTTTTTCTCCACCTGTGAAATTCATCTAGTGAATTAGAAGTGATTTAGTAGATGGTAAATTCATAATAAATCCAGTGAATAATCCAGAATTTTTTCAAAAATTAGCAATTTGTTTAAATTTTTATTTTATCTAAATCTGATATCTTTAAGTGATGGCATGAGTAAATTATAGGTGAAAATAGCATTATTTAGTTTGAGGGAAAAAAGTTTTAGAGGGAAGTATTAACTGGCTGTGGTGCTATACACCTATAATCCCAGCACTCAAGGGGCTGAGGCAGGAGGATCGCCATAAGTTTAAGGCAAGCCTGGGCTATATAGTTCAAGGACAGCCTGTACTACATAGCAAGATCCTGTCTCAAAAAACAAAACCCAGAAGCAACAAAAAAGGGAAGTGTTGCTTTGTTCAAAGCTAAAAGGAGTCAATATTTGAAAAATTAATTTTATTGGTACATTTTAGATACACAATATAATGACATTCATCATTGGAGCTTTGTACCTTTACATAATATATCTTGATTTTTATTTTTTCCCCATTCCCCTGCCCTCCCTTCAACCCCTCCACCCCTCCCTGTTTGCAAAGACTTTGTTTCCATATTTTCATTTTCTCATATTAAGTCCATTCTCTTCTTTCCTTTTCTCTACCCCTTCTACTTCCCCTTTCCCTTTGAACCTTTTCTTCCTATTTCACATTATCTGTTATACCATTTAGTCCTTATTTACACTTTTAGTTTCTCACATCAGAGAAACTATTCGGTATTTACATATGTGTGTCCTATTTATTTCACTTAAGAGTATCGCCTCATTGTGCATCCATTTAGCTATAAATGTCTGTAATTTCTCATTCTTTATGGCTGAGTAGTACTCCATTTAAAAACCCCCACATTTTCTTTATCCTCCAGTTGATGGACAATTAAGCTGTTTCCCAAGTTTTAGCTATTACTAACTGTGCCATTATGAACATGGGTGCATATATATCGCTGTGATATGATTCTTTTAATTCTTTTGGGAAGATACTCAGCAGGGGAATAGCTGGGTCAAATGAGGCCTCTAATCCTAGTTCTTTGAGTTGTTTCCATACTGATTTCCACAGTGGTTCCACCAGTCTACACTCCCACCAGCAGTGGAGCAGGGTTCCTCTTTCCCCACAGCCCCACCAGCATTTG